CGAGCGGTTGTACACGTGGGCGGTAAGTGTCAGACCAGACCCGCCACCTAGGCTACTGGTTGATGGCAGGAATACCTCCATTAGCAGGATTTTGCAGCAAATTTTCTCTCTTTTTTGCTGCTCTAGGTTGCGGAGCTTATTTATTAGCCTTAATAGGAGTAGTAACCAGCGTTATTAGTTGCTTTTATTATATACGTTTTGTGAAAGTCATGTATTTTGAAACACCTAAAACATGGATTTTCTATAAACCAATGGATCGTGAAAAATCTTTATTGCTTGCTATTACTCTCTTTTTTATCACTTTTTTTTTCTTATATCCTTCTCCTTTATTTTTGGTTACTCATCAAATGGCACTAAGTCTGTGCCTGTAAGTTTCGAGCGGAGACGAAACTTCGTAGTAATAAAATAGATACGCCTGACTAGGCACCCTGCCTACTGCATATATAGAGGGCAAGGCTGTGACGGCCCTCTATACTCAGTTGGAAGGTCCTGAGGATGACCGCAGCGCAGGTGGTCGAAACGCGGCGTCGAGGAATGTGTGCATGCTGAGTGTGAAGAACATGTTGATTTTTGTAATATCATACTTCGTGTTTGTGAGCAATTATCGGCCACTGCTTCTTCTTCTTCTTCTTCTAATTTAATATCATGTGGCCCGATGGACCACGGATCAGATATTAAACTGATCAGAACAGATACAGTGCACTTGATCTTAGCTAAAAAGATTCATATTTTTGGATTCCCGGGTAACCGAAAATAATGGAGGCCTACCAGCTCAGTTGGTACACCCATGAGATGAGTTGCTCAGATGAAACACGGACCCAAGTTCGAACCCAGATGCAGTCAGATGAACAGAATGGGTATACCAAAACTGTGTTCATTCTTTTCATGATGACTGCATCTGTTTGAAATACGGACCCGAGTTCGAACCCAGATGCAGTCAGATGTACAGGAATGAAATATTTGTGAAGCAAAGAAAATGAAAAAAAATAGAGGTCTAGTTCAGCTTACGAGAAGCCAGGTGTTTGTGTCTACAGAGGGGTTCGAAACCATAGTCATAGTCATAGATATAGCCATAGCCATTTCTATGGCAGCTATGGCTATGGCTATAGCTATAGGACTATGTGTAGCCATGGCTATGTCTATAGCTATATGACTATGTGTAGCCACGGGTATGGCTATAGCTATATGACTATGTGTAGCCATGGCTATGGCTATAGCTTCTCTGACTACGTAGTCATGGTATGACCGTAACTATGGCTACGTGGCGATGGCTGTTTAGTCAGAGCTATAGCCATAGCCATGCCTACACATAGTCATTGCCGCGGCCATAGACATGACTACACATAGTCATAGCTATAGCCAGGCACCTTGTCAGAGAAGCTATAGCCATAGCCACGTCTACTAAAGTCGGATGTGTCGTCATGGCTGTAGCTATTGCTACATAGCCATGGCTATAGTCATAGCTATAGGCTAAAAATAGTGAGGCCTATGTAGGATGTAATAAACCACTCCGACGTGTACTAGATCCGCTCCCCCAGCTCAGATCTCCATTTTCAGTTTTTAACTTTTTACTAGTTCTTAGCAATTTTTTAAATTCCCGAATTATCATATTTGCAAAGAAGACAGCCAAGCCATGAAATATTCGTTCAGAAAAAAGAACAAAAACGCTTCTATATCCTCCGACACATGCTCCCTCTTCCCACCCCTCTTTCCCCCTCGTCCCCTTCTTCCCCCTCCTCCCACCATCCCAGCTCTGCTTGATTACCTGTTTGTTGTCTTCATTATCAGACTTTTGAATCCTTAAAACTTAAAAGATTTGGAAAAAAAAAAGAAGAGAGAATATCACGATGCACCTTAGCTGCCTGGTATGTTACATGCCCAGTTGGGCAATGTATGTATAGCCAAGGATCCGCAATGTGATAAAAAGAACTGAATGGACAATGCGGTGTTAGTGGAATCCCAACAAGCAATGTACATCCTGATACATACGAAATGGCACCTTGTAGCGCCGTGGAAGACTTAGATATCAGCCCTGACCTGACCAGGACTGACCTCTCTTACGTAGTACAAGACAGCGCAGCGGAATGCTAGAATACCAATGACTACCCCAATCAATGTCTCAATGCAGACCAAACATACATCATCCTCATCACAAGGTGTGAAGGGGGCCTGGCGCTACACACAGGAAGAATGCGCCAGGTCCAGACCATACACAGACGAGAGGAGGGGATCAGACGAAGAAGAGGGGGAAGATCGGAATGTCGTCAACACCAAGTCTTCGGTACAAGTCCCAGATAATCCCTTGTCAAATATCTGAAGCCCAATGTCGAGTCTGGATCCAAATGTCACCAATCCCTCTCTCTCATAGTCTGCTGATGCAGTGAAGTCAGGTAGCGAGAGGGTGAGGGGGAGATGGTGGACTGAGAAGAGGAAGAAGCAGAACTCTCTCTCTCTCTCTCTCTCTCTCTCTCTCTCTCTCTCTCTCTCTC